CCATGGCAAGTGTGCAAAACCTCCATGCCTAGCTACGAAATCGTCCCATAGATCAACACACTTAACTGGGATGTTATCCCCATATACCACTGACACCACACAACTCCGTTTACCATTACATGCATTAACACGAACATGGATAGTTTGAGCAGAGCAGCCTACCAACAAGACATCTACATCAATTGGATTCCAACAAACCCAAATTCTGCCAATCGGAGAACAATTATAATTCGAAAGGACACTCCAAGAGTTGAAGATGGCATTCACCACCTTATTTTGATTCTTCTCTTTAACTTTAGTTTCCACTAACCCACATAAAGAAAGCCTATTGGAAGCAATACGGTTCTTTTCTTCAGATTGTTTGACGGGGTCGTTTAACCCCCTGACATTCCAGCATCCAAAAAACATAATTAAAGTCAAGGAGAGAATCACAGCCTCAAAATGACTAGCACCATCTACCTCCCCTAGGGGAGTGATGCTTCTTGCCTTTCTTATGCTTGCCTCCTGACTATTCTTCTTTTTCTGAAGTGAATCTCTAGCTTTCATAGCTAACATGTTAGACTGCGAGACAGAAGTATCACTATCATCTTCACCTAGAATGGCAAGAGGATCTGGAGAAACTTCACCTTCTTCCCCAATTTGAGAAGTCTCAATAGGCACATTCGATACCTCCAGATGCAAATTAGGAGCACTAGGTGGAGAAGATTCAACAACATCTACATGAGCCACATTGACAACCACCAGATCAACCGCTCCTTGGACCTCCTTAGAAATAGGCACACCAACCCCAGAATCAACACTAACTCTAGACTTCTGCAAGCTTGAACAATTCATTTATATCCTACGACAATCATTTAGACAATGATACTTGAGACTTCATCTTGTCTTTGCTATGATGGGTTTACTATACTCGAAGAACACCATTATTGTGTGCTTGCTAAGCGATCAAGAGAGATTTATTATTCTATCCTCGTAAATAGCCAGCATATAGATGGATGGGAATGATACTGAGATGATTATCACCACAATGCATATATGTCCTCAAATTTTCTGGCGAAGGGCATGGGTGAAGCAAACTTTTTACTTGAGGTTAAGATTTTTAGTCATGTTAAAAAAAAATTCTTAATTTGTTTCAAGTGACTTACAGTAAGAAAATTTTGAACAATTTCAAATGCAAAAATGGTTAACAACTATCCTATTGAGAAAGAAGATGCCTTATGCCTGAACATGTTTCTTAAGATTTCAAAAGAAAAAAGAAAAGATGGTCAAGTTCTTTATGCGAGTGTCGTGCATATCTTGATGAACGTTATCAATGGCGGAGCTACGAAAAATCATTGAGGTGGGCTGAAATCTTAAGAAATTCCAATGACCTCATGCCATATGTTATCGTCATTCGAGATCCGATTTAAAAGGCTAAACTCATGACTTTCTTGACAAAGTGCAGTTACTAAAGCAAGAACAAATCTAAGGGGCCGTTTGAGTCCCATTATTTGTAGATTATAATGAGATGAATAGTATTTTTTTGAAAAAATGAGTGGTTGAAAAGTTTTTGATTTACGTGTAATATTATTCTATTGAAAATTGTGTGATTAAAAGTAGAAGAGAGAAAAATTTAATTTAATGTAATGAGAAATAATGAGGCTCAAACGGGGGCTAAATGTCAAGTAGAAAATCGATCCACTCTCTAAAAAATAAATCATGATAAGAATGAGCAATATACACCCCAATCAAAAGCTAATAATATACCTAGCGAATACTGTTTTAAGATAAAAGTCTTAAAGAATTTTGACAACAATTAATTTCAAACAATTAAAAATTTTAGAAGAAAAACACAATTTAAAATGTATATGATTGTACATCACTATTCTCATAATACTATTCGAAGTGGGCATTAGTATTCTGTAGTAATACATTTTAAAAAAAGGTTGAACCCCAACCTTGAGAGTCCCTACCACTTCGTTCTTGGAGTATCGCGAGGGAGGTAAATCACAGGTTGTACTCCAACAGGTCAGGAAACAAGAGCTTGCTTATACACTGGTGCCCACAAAGAGTCCAATTTCATATTTCAAGAATCGAACTCTCACACTGCGATTGCCAACAAGGCTAATACTACCTCACTCCTATCATTTCCACCACTGGGTTATGCCCACAGGGTCTGTAGTAATACATTCTAATCTCACTTTAAGCGAAAAAATCGACTAGAAATGTCGAGGGTCCAAAGAAATTGGATTTATTTTACTTTATATTAATTTAACTAACTTCAATAATATATTCATAATCATATTATTTCAAAGTAAATAAGTTTTTTAAAAAATATTAATTTTATTGATAATATTAAATATATAGAAAGTTACTTATTTTGATAATATCTATTTCATGATCAAAATAAGTACATTTTTTACTTATATGTAAGTAATCTATGAATACATAGATAAAAAGAAATTTTAGTCAATTGTAAGTTAACCAAACATGTAGCATCTCGTATTGTTAAAATAAGTCATTAATTTTATCTTCAAACAATATAAATAAATTTTTTTATAATTTATTTAGCCCCCTTTTGACCCCCATTATTTTAAATTACAATTTTCTCTCTCTTATTTTCAATCATACATTTTTTTATAAAATAATATTATGCGTAAATCGAATTTTTTTTTCAACCACACATTCTCCGAAAAATATACTATTCGAAAAATTATAAATTGAAATAATGGGGGTCAACAGGGGCTTACTTTTACAAGTTAACTTTTTAAGCTTAGTCAAACGTGCATGAAATATTGCCCCAGTTTGGCTCCCATTTTTTGAAATGAAAATAGGTGAAATAGTTTTTTTTTTAATTGGTGGTTGAAAAAGAAGGAAATTTTTTTGATTTACGTGGAATATTATTTTATGAAATATTGTGTGGTTAAAAATATAAGAGAGAAAAATGAAATGTAATATAATGAAAGCCAAACGGAGGCATAGCCTATGTTTGATTCAATTAAAAAAAATTATTTAAATTTTAAGTCAAAGTTATCAATTACTTTAGGGTTCGTTTGATTGCAAAAATGGAATTTGGGTGGAAAGAAAATGAATTCCAAGGAATAGAATTGCCTAAAACTTGTTTCCTGGATATTGTCAATTAAACGTGTTTGATTGACATAATTTGCCAAATGGAAAATGTCCAAATTTTCTATCGTTTGACTTTGTTTTTCATGAAAATTATAAATCAAAGGAACAAAATTTGTTACAATTGAGGATCAAATTTGTTCCAATTGTCAAAAAAAGAGGCTGGAAAACCAATTCCCACACCAAACCAAGGAAAATGTACATGTGTGAGGAAAAGGAGGAAATCAAATTGTTTGAAAAATTATTTCTATCAAACATGACAAATCGTGGAAAATGGAAAATCTACCCAATCAAACAGGCCCTTAAAGAAATGAAGAATCGAATAAGGACCGTGTTTTCCTAACTTTTTTAATTTATGTATCTTAAATAAATCAAATTGATATAAGTTTTATCTAAATTTATTATTCTATCGTAGTGCTATTTCTATAGTTTTGAAGAAATCAAATTGAAAGCCCAACTATGCCTCTCTTCATTATTGTAAACTCATTATCTTCATTTTTTCTTGATTTTAACAATTAAATCTATGAATAACTCAACAAAAAGAAGAGCAAAAGATATATAAGATTGAATTACGTTATTTTGTAACAGTTAAGATTGAAAATGTCATTAATCGAATTAATTTAATCTTATTTTAGATATTAAAAAAATTAACTATTATATGAAACCCAGTAACCGAATGAAACAGAATCGGAACAATTCTATAATTATATACAAATAATTACCATTTGGTCAGGGGTAGGCCTCGACTATGACTCAAGCATGCCCATGTACGCTATGATGTGTACTTAAATTGACATGGTTACGTAATTGTATCAATATAATCCAGTCAAATGCTGATCTTTCTCATTGAAAAGCAGTATGACGAATATCTCGATGCCTTAGAGGAGGGTTAGTTGATTACATACTTTGTTATCAAGTATCGGATTTTTGATTAGTTGGCTATAGAGACGCCAAGTAGGGGAGCAACTTAATGGAGCACAAATCAATATCTAGTTTTATTTTATTGCTTAGTGATGGTTCCATATCTTAGTGTAGCGAGAAGCGAGTTCCAACAACATCATCACGGATTGAGAATCTCGCACACCCTTCCTCCTCCATGGCTCCATCGAATTTTATCCTATCCAAAACATTAGTCCCATGTCAGACGTGCGATCACGTGACTACTGGCAAGGGATTCCACGTAAGCTTCTCAGCAGAAAAACCAGTTCAAAGGAAGTGTGTATTTCGACCGGGACAACCAGTCAAATACGAGCGGAAGAGTAGGAAAATTCCCACTAGAAAAAGTCCTAACCCTTTAATAAAGAAACAAATCTTGCGGGCCGGTTGAGCTGTCATTTGGAGTCATGTACGGTGGATGACGTCATCTATTTGGCCTTTCTTCTTGAGTTTTTTCGACTTGCCCTTGATTATTTTATTTTGATGTGATCTAATTTAGATTGTAGGATAGATAATTTAATGAATTAATTATTATAAAAATGAAAATGATATTCATAATATAATGTACATGTGTTTGTCACAATTATTATTACTTATTATTTCTACGTAAATTGACTAATAATCTATGAAGACGTGTTAGTCTTGTTGTGCTCACTTTCAACAGTATTTGTGGTCACGTTGATATAAAGTATCTGACAAATAATTCTTTTATTTTTAATAGGAGAATATTCAAATATAATTTTCTAATGTGACAAACATATGTTTTACTATGATTTATTTAAAAGAAACAAATTCAGTCATTTTACTGTACTGAAATGAAATGAAGTAAATACCGGAAAGCAATAATAAATCTTGCAAGGAATAAAGTAACAATCTTTTAATAAGAATTAACATTTGACAAAATAGCGTTGTGTGAAATTTAATTGACAAGAAATTCAAGGAGATTCAAGCTATTTTTGGACATGTTTGATTAATTTTATCAAAATACTTTTTTAATTAAGAGAGCGTTACAGAAGCCGACTCACTATAACTTCTATAAAAATCTTCTAAAAGAAAGAGTGAGTTTTTAAAAAAATTAATTTTCGAACATTAATTAATGAAGATAAATTTCTTAAGATAACCTTGCCTAATGAACCCTAAATATAAATCTATTAGTAGCATCTTCTTTGATTGTGTAAAATTCTTTTACTTCCCCATTTACTTCTTGGTGGATATAAATTCAAATTCTACTCCGATAGAAAAATCTAAAAAATTAAGTGCAAATTGATTGATAGTTTTTTGTTGAGTAATGATATTCATAGTCGTTCACTGCAGTAGTCGCCTTGTGTGATATCCTACACAGCGATTTATGATTTGATGTATTAATATAGTAGTTTTTTTTTACCTCATATGTTAAATCATTAACCGCTACATGTATGTCACGTATAACGACTGTGATGGTGAGTGACAACAAATATCATTATTCTTTTTTGCTTCTTATGGATCTCACAAGCAAATTTAAAAATAGATATAAATTTATACATTTTTATATTTTTCCATTGAAAAATATACTTTGCATCTCTTCATTAGAATGGTTTCCTACCACTTTTGAGATTTGATTCATAATTTAAATTTAATTTAGAGAATCTAACAAAATACTTTTACATCTAGAGCCTGTTTGTGCCATATTTTTTAAATCATTTTCATTCAAAAGTTGACTGTTGGTATAGAATTTGGGTCCCACACATGACACAGACGATCAACAGTTGCGATTTGAAGAGAGATATAAAGGTAAAATAATTCCATTTTTATGTCCTAGAAAGTTGGCTCAAACAGGGGCTTATTTTGGGAATATGAAAAGTCACAAATTTAGCCCTTGTTTAACAATTATTTTTATAAAGAGTAAAGCTTTATAACTCCATTAATGTTGCAAATTCAGTCTAGGTGCTCACTAGATTACAGACTAAATGGGAATTAAATGAATTAGTTAGTTTCACTTATCATTTAACGTCACATTTGCGTCGTCTAAATTGGGAATGTAACCTCAGTGAAATTAAATAGCATTATTTTTTTTTTTTTATAAAATTCATTTTCAACCCCTCATTTTCATAGTAATATATATTGCACTTAGATTCATTTTTTATTAAATCGCATATTTTTAAAAAAATCACTATTTCAAAATTTATTTTTTCCCCAAAACACTTTTTAATGATTGTCAAACTGCACTTCAATTGTAAGAGGCAAACTCGAATCATAACTTATTACAAATTTCATAGTCCAATGGTGCAAAGGATAGGAGTGAGGTTATCTCACGCATTGCTGGCAATCACAGTGTGGAAGTTCGATTTATAAAACTTGGAATTCGACTCTTTGTAGGCGTAGTGTATATATAGCTTTTATTCCCTGATCTGTTAGGGCACATCCCCCAATTTACCTCCCCCACAAAGTTTTAGGGACAGAACGGTGAGGGCCCTAAAAGTTGGGGTTCAACATTTTTTTTTTATTACAAATTTCATCGTTTCATCGCCAAATAAAATCCAATCGTCACCGTCCATTCAAAGCTTGGCCCCAATTCCTCACTATATAAACCTTATTCGAAATTATCTCCCGGTTCCTCTGACCTCTCTCCATTCGATTAATTTCATGTATAACGTTGTCTTATTAATTCCATCGTAAATAAATTTTTAATTTTTTTAGGGGAGGCAATGATAAGTTCAGCAGCCCCGGCCTCGTATATTGGGTGGGATGAGCTGGTGGTTTCCGGCGAGAACGTACGTCGAGAGGTCCGTTATTATTTAAGGCGGAGCGACGGCCGCGGGCCGGATCTGGTCGTCGTCGGGAAGGAGAAGTGCCCAAACCGGATGTATTATTATGGGATTAGAGATAAGAAGTATTTGCTTTCGCCCTTGAAGTATTCTTCTCTCTTGAAGCTCAGGTCCAGAAGAGAGGTCATTGATTGGCTCAATTCAATCGTTACAGGTGCTTTTCGTGTTATTCTTTCTATTTTATTTTAATAGTTTTAAGGGGTTAAAAATTAGATCTGTTTTGAGAAACTAATTGTTGTTGGAAAGTGTAATTTTCCTTTTCTTTGAATTTCGATTTCGGGGAGTTTTTAAATGGAATACTGAATACAGTTTCCTAATTTTTTGTGTACTTAAAAAAGACGAGATTCTTTGTAATCAGTGTTTTTTTTATCCTCTGTATAAATTCTTCGAAAAGTTCTTTAGTTTGAGAGGTTTCTGCGCCCGCAGGCCTCTGTATTTCTGGAATAATTAATTTTTTTGGTTTTAGTTCTCTTTCAAAATGACCAATTATTTGGAAGAGGGATTTATGTTCTCCGGTAGTTTTTCCTTTCCTTTTTTTGGGGGGTGGGGGTTGGTGGTGATGGTAAACCTTTGCGACCTTTTTATGTTGTTTGTATTTCTGAAAGGTGCTAAGGGTGTATTCCAGCCGAGTGTGTGATTGCTGAAATATTTCTACATTTCTCTCCGACGAAAGAGGAAATACAGGTTTCAGGAAAGAGTTCTGAATTATATTTGGAGAATTCCACATGGTGTGTTCAATGGTTTTATCACTTTATGTATATTTATGAATTAAAAAAACAAAGATGAAATTTACTATATCCTATTTTCCAAATTGACCTAATTTTGTCTTTGCATCGAAGAATTCTCGGATTTAAATTATTTTTTGCTCTTTTTGTGACAGAGATTAATATAGAGTCAATAACTGGAATATTGTTACTTTGGATTTTTTTTGGGGGTGAAAATGAATTGTGGCACCATACATAATTTTTCTTTTTTCTTTTTCCCTCTTATTGAGTGCTAATTTTTATTCTTAAAAGGAGGTTCTGGGTACTCGGATATTCACATGGGTAAAGGCCTTTCTTTGTTCGTCTTTTCTTGAAATTCAACAATTTGGAAAGATGGTTTTAAGAAAATAAGAACTTTTATAGATATCCAATGAGATTCATTTTGGCTGAATTTTCATCAGGATGTTTGATGTGCTAAAGTGAGGAGAGGATGAATATTCTCCGTTGAACTACATTTTTAAGAATATGCTACTTTTGTTGAAGGAATTATTCTAATTAGTGTTTATTTGTATACTTTTTAGCTAAAGGAATTGTCATCATTTTTGGAGGTGGATTTTTAGATAATCTGGTAAAAGTGATAAAGAGCTTCCTTGCCTTTTTTTACTGTATTCTTTGAGATAACATATCTGGTTGCTGTGGATTTATATGATGTGTATATATTCAATCATAAAAGAAGGATTTATGAGCATTTTGACGAGGGTACATCTCTGTTGCTCGCCCATATGATCTGTGGATGAACACATATATTAATTGTATGCATGTGGAGGAACATTGATTTCATTTTGATGATGTCTTCTTTCTCATTTTGTGATTTTTATCCACTGAACTTAGAAAAATCGAATAATAATAATTTTCCATATCTTTCTTTGAATTCTGATTGCGATGGTTGGAGGAACTAATATGGCAGGCTAGCCTGTCACTTTCTCTAGAATTTGTCAGTATAGATATAGATTTTTTCCATTTACAATCTCAATTTAAAGTTGTATGTAAATTTGCACTGTGTTTTGATCTGCATTTCAGCGATTTTCTTTTGTGCTAGAAACGATTGTCCTTTTTCTCAGTCCTGTTTAGTTCCTCGTTTTTCCTCTTTTCAGCATTGCATTGTCTTTTCAATGGTTGAGTGTCATCATCTCTAACATTTTGGTATCCATGTTATAAAAATAATTGACAATGGGTTGCTTGAATGTTCTATCAATTTTGCAAGAGATGGTTGAGAGTGTCAGAATTTCTTTACCCCATAGCATACAATGTTCTTCTGTCATTTCTGTTTGATTGGTTTTTCTATTATTTGTGGTGTTTTTGATGACCATTGTCTTGGACAAAATTGCACAGTCGTTTATGACTTTTTCTTGTGAAGATTTTGGGTTATCTGGACACAGTTCTTTTTGGTTGTTGATTCTATCAACTGCTAATTACCTATTTACCTTGATTGTTTGCTTATTTTACTAGTGCTACATGATACTAATTTTTCCATGTTGATTCTACTTTCAGATGTAAGTCAGAATCGTTTTTTTGAACAGTTTGATGGTTATATGGAAAACAAAGGTACCCACAAGTTGGATGCTGATATTATTAAGGTTAGCTAATATTCATTGTTACTTTGCTTAATTCTTTCTGCCCTAAGGTACTATGAAATGGATATGTTACTAATGTCTCTTTTAATAAATTCTTTGCAGGATGTTCAACTGCAGGAGCCAGACCTTTATACGGTGGAATTTATGTGGTTGGGGTCATCATGGACTTGCCGGAAAAGGCGGAAGCACTATTTATCATTTTGCCGCAATGGTATTAAAATATCTGTAAGTCTTTCCTTATCTGACGGTGCTCTTAATCAAATAATGGTGCAATTGAAGTTTTTGGCTCATTAATTACATGTTCATTTTATTTCTTTTGCTATCACTAACAGGTTCATGACTTTGTTTCTGTATTGGCTGAAGAAGATAAACGACTCGTGGCTTACTTAGATGATATGTATGAAGATTCCCGTGGCAACAAGATGGTTGTGGTACGATGGTTTGACAAAATTGATGAGGTTGGTTTTGATTTGCCTCATAACTATAATGACAGAGAGATTTTCTTTTCTCTTTGTCTTCAAGATCTCAGTATCGAATGCATTGATGGACTGGCAACCGTCCTTAGTCCAGAGCATTACGAGAAAGTTTTGAAGGCAGAAACAACTTTGCTGCTGGTGCCATTCGTTTGCTATAGACAGTCTGATAATGATGATATCAAGCCATTTGACATAACACGACTTAAAGGTTACTGGAAACAGGAAATACTTAGAAATATTTCTTCTTCTTCACCGTTTGGAACATCCGATGATAATATTAAGGTAGAACGAACTCTTAGTGATGCGGTTGGAAGTAGATCCAAGAAGAGGCTTCAATGGTCCAAAGAATGTGAGATATACTTGCAGCCTGCTAAGAAAAGAGCGGTTATTGATGCTAGCCCCAAAGATGACAGTGGTGGTTTCATCAGTTCTGAAGGCTGCACTCCTGTCTTCTTATCATGGCAATATCCAACGATGTTAATGCGCACGCAATGTTTGGCTGTTGGTTCTCAAGTTGAAGTGCTTTCTCAAGATAGTGGCATCAGAGGTTGCTGGTTCAGAGCTTTGATCATCAAAAGGCACAAAGATAAGGTCAAAGTGCAGTATCGAGATATCAAGGATGCTACTAATGATGCGAAAAATCTGGAGGTGAATATCTTGTTCTCTTATGTGTTTCCTTTATAATTATGCTCGTCCCATCTAAATGATTTCTTACCATATTTAGTGTTCCACATTTTAGGAGTGGATTTTGGCATCCCGATTAGCTATGCCAGACGAGTTTGGTATTCGGATTTGTAGGACCATTGTTAGACCTGTGCCCTTGTCTAACGAGGGTAAAGTTTCTTTGGTAGTAAATGTTGGAAGCATCGTTGATGCTTGGTGGCATGATGGGTGGTGGGAAGGCATTGTCATGAAGAAAAAAATGGAGAATAAGCTGCATGTTTATCTACCAGGTGTGATTCATTGGCGAGGCTTATATCAAAATAATTTCACTCTTTTTATGCTCCCCTTTTTTTTCCCTGCACGCTCTTTTCTTTTCCGTAATGGATTTTCCTCTCCAATTGTATTAAATGGATTCTAATTGTTATCCTTAACTAATTTGTAGGGGAAAAGCGAGAGATGATCTTCAGTCTAGATGACTTAAGGCATTCACAAGAATGGATTGAAAATGAGTGGAAAGCTATCAAAGAAAGGCCGGAGGTAGTCCCAATATTATCTGGGCTAAGAAGAAAGCCACATGTCGGAACATTCTTTCCTGTAAATCCTGATGCTGCTCCATATGTCAATGGAGATCTTGCTAATACCAATCACAGTGATGCTTTGGCTATACAGAACCTAGTTGGATGTGACAGCTCTATGATTAGTAGCGATGAGGAGCCAAATGGGGTGGCAAGAGACCTCTCAAATGATGATTTGCTTTCTCAGTTAAAATGGTTGTCTTATGGAAAGAGAAGGCGTGGTAGGGATCCCGTTCACAAAGTCCATTATGGTGTTAATAGTAATGAGAAGTACTCAGCCATGAGGACTTTAAAGAGATTCTTTGCCCCATCATCTTTGAAAGTAGATCCAGAAAATTGTAAATATGTCAATGATACTCTCTTTAATTCATCTGTTGAATCTCCAGTGACAAGCCTGGTTATGTCTAGGTGATTTCTTTTCAATGGGATAGTTTAACTTCATCCTAATCCCTCTTTTGGCCAAAACAAAGCGAGTTTTTGTAGGAGTCAAGCAGTGTATTTGTGTAAGAAGTTTAGGCTCTAGAACTAGGTTTCAGAAGCGAGGCAGCAAATAGTTCGCCCCTTTCCATAAATAGGAGATTAATTGCCTGTATTTGGCTCAGTTTCTGCTGAAATCCTTGTTACACTGATTTATATCAATGAATATGAGATTCCTGGATCTGAAAAACATGGTCAAGTGACGTGTAGCATTTGCATATTAAGCCAAAGAAATCAGCTGTAGCCAGAGCATATTCCTATCTGTTTAGCGTTGGACAGATAGTTGTCCATTAAAAACAGACAAATTTTCACTTCTTTTTATTCGTTAAATCTGTCCATTACTTAATCCATTCAATTAAACAAACCCGTCATTGTATTACCGAACTTAATTTGACCCGATTAGTAAATTGTAACTAATTTAAGCTATTAAAAGTTTTAATCTCTGAAGCAACCTAAGTATAATAATTCAATGTGAAGAAAGTTCAATGCACTCTGGTGGAAGAGAAAAACATCTTTGTCAACTCAGACATTTTTCACTTCATTAAAGCCTCCGTTTCGACCAAATTCCCTAATTTCTCCAACATAGGAAGCACATATCATAAATCCTACCAGAAGTTGGAAATGAGCTTTTAGCCATAGCCTTTTTTATCATCTTTCCCAGATACTGATAATATACTCATAGGCCAGAAGCATGTCTGTGGCAAGAGGGAATCAAAATGAGCTCCGTTCGACCCAAGAAAAAGAGTTGGAGGGCGGCCCTCTTCCTCCGACGACCCTTGCTGCCATTGAATCCTTAGCAATACCTCTTGTGAGTTTACTCTTTTTCTCATGGCCAAATATTACTTCCTTGCTTGGAGTTTTTT